TTCAACATCCTATATCTCAAAAACGGAGCAAGTAAGGACAAATGTTTATATGAACTTTATTCGCTAGAATGTCACCCCTTGAATTCTTTCGGTGTTATTCAGATACACCCTGTATATCTCGCTACGCTGACTAGAATTGAGAGAGAAATTCGAAACTTCTCGTGGTAAATGTCTCTCCTGATCTAAAAAGCATCCTACAACTGGCACATCATTATGTATGCTCTTTTCAACATGTGAAACGGTTTTTATTCACTACTTTTATTTATCAGTTGGGGTGCACGAAAGAGAATCCCTATAATCTTCGGAGAAAATCGTGCGTACCTAGGAAGCATGGGGCGAGGAAGTAGGTATTTGATTTTTTTCTTGAGAATATACTTCCTTTGACGAATAATTCCAATGCTGGTGAATATTTGTACAACTTATCCCAAGGTTGAGTACGAAGGGATGTGCTGTCTGGGTTTGTCGAGTTTGTCTGACTGGTATTGCTAGTATTCGGAATTTTTCAAATTGCAGAACGGCATTTTGTTGGATATGATTTTGCGCAACATTGTCATGATTTAACCGACCCTGTATCTCTTACGGTTTACGAGATCCCAATGCCAATAGAGAGGCTCGAATTCCAGCCACCCTGTACTGTCGGGTTGCATTGAAAATTAACGGATCGCTGTTCAGTTTCCGATTACCTTTGTTCTCGCAGTCAGGAAAATAGCGATCGAATTCACTTTTCAAGTTTACCTCTTTTGATCTCAGCACACTCTCCTTCAATAATTTGATTCAGCTCAGCAAACAAAGAAAATAGTTCTTTTTCGACTGTCATGATCCATAGTTTAATTTCAGCGATAAATGCAGCTATTTTATCTTGACATGAAAATATACTGCTGGTGTCATGCAACTTCAAAATTGGTAATCCGTCCGCTTATCACTTATTTAATATTTTTCTGATAACTTCGCGGACCCCTTTGTGTGCTACCAAGGACCACCGGTTAAGAACCACTGGATAACATGATGACTACATGGATTTCATGATTATTACATGATGATTACATCGGCCTGTCCCAGGATTTCATGATGTGGTGACCCCCTCGTTGCATGTTGTCTATTTCCATCCAGTACAGTTGCTCCTTCGTACACATTTCCATAAATTTTGAAACCATCTGCGAACCATTTCGCGAATAATTTGTATCTGGTTACTCTACTCCTACCCGCTCTTATTTTCTTATCAAGAAAATCTTACCCCATGACATTCACTAGATTTAGAACAGCCCTAAATCACTACCCACGAAAACGGTACCATTGCTCCTCGAAATGCAACCCCCTCACTCCTCCCCAGCATGCCATACATTCCACATTTAAAGTTTGTAGATTTCCGCCGAACGGCAATAACCATAAATCGTGAAGGTAGCGACCTTTTACTGCAGTTCACAGTTTTGGTAATGGTAATTTTCGCCTGGTGGCAATCTCGTCTTCCATCTGAATTAAGATACGATCAAGTAATGGGGTGTTTGTACGAAAAAAGGACCAACACCTTTTTTTCAAAACATCGAGAATTGCCACTTTGAACTAATAATTATTAATCTTATGTAGAAGTCCATACTTTTTTCTAAGTAGAATGTAGTTGTGTTAGAAAACACAAAATCATCTCTATAACGTTCAATAATCGTAAGATTATTAAGGGGAACATATTTCGGAGTGTCATGTGTCCATCATCAGCCTTAATCCTTACAAACCAAAGGTCCTATAATATTCAATTCGATTCAATTCAATTTATTCAGTATTAGGTGTACATACAAAATAAGTTTGAGGTCTATGTGTCCTATATACATACATTTATATATAGTTAGGAGGAGAGTAATCGTGACTGACTAGTTAAGGTGAAATAAACAATAACTTTAGAAATAGTTCCAAAAGAAATCTTTCTAGGTGAGGTTGCAGTCAAAATTTTTGCCTTAATGAGAGGACTCTACGTTACGCTTAGCCAAGCTTTCGGAGATGTTTATTTCCTTTATCGAGACATTAACGTGAGATTCCTGTAAAACACAATGAAATACATAACAGTTGCATCTTCAGCTGAATTTGACGATTAAAACATTTTTTTATTTCATAATTTTAGGATAAAAAAGAATAGGAATCAATCAACAGGTTCCATTTCTTTTCCGTAACGGACCTTTGAAAACAAAATGGACGGTTGGCAGAGTACTTGAACATGTGAAAATAATTGAAAAATTTGTGAACCCCCATATTGATCAATATAACACATCAAGAAGTTCGCTTGCAAATTATATCCTCAACCACCAACATTCTTTTGATATCAATAACGATCTGCAAATTTTAAATATTCGCCAGAAAGATGCTCTTCTTAACCTATTTGAAATTTTAGAAATTAACGCATCCTTAAACGACTCTAATGTCATCGCACTCAATGAGCAAACTCATTTTGATTGCAAAAATTCTTCAATTCTCTGGTTTTTGAATTTAGAGTAACTACATAATTTGGTTTATCATGCAGATGGATCATTGTTTTATTTAACCAATACAAATACATCCTTGTTACACTTATTAATCAACATCAAACATTCACAGTCATATTGAGAAGTACAAGTTTTCGACTTATGGGGCGTTTGGTCCCAGTGCTGGGACCAACGAGGTATCCAATTGCAAAAAAAAGTACACATGAGTAGAACTGATTTTTGTTCACCTTCATCTTACATCAAGAATTCGAAAGCAGTGAATGGAAAAAGCCATACTGCACCTAATATATCGAAGTTACCGATTTCAAAGATATCAAAAGTTGTGCCAAGAAACTCCAATATGAAAATATTCCTTTTTCCCAAGTTGCTGCTTTGATAGAAGGTGAATGCAATTTAAGAAATGAGAGCTGCATGAAGGAGACTGACAGGAACTGTTCCGCTGCATTTCTGAACGATCTTACATAATAATAATAATAATAATAATAATAATAATAAACGCTTTTATTGGTAGAAGCAAGAATAAATATACAAAATAGTTACAAAAATATGTGCAATTCTACCAAAGGGCAGACTTAGCTTTTGTCTGATCCCTAAGGAAACAGACAAGTGCTTTCTTCCACTCAACCTTAAATATAAATAATAATAGGAAATAACAAAAATTAAAGAAAAAAAAAAGAGAGAAACAAAATACAAGACATTTCATTGAACTTATATCTAGTAAAAAATTTTAGCTCTCTATATAGCTACAGCCAATATTAACACGTGATTAGGAAGTGATTTTGGACTTGTTACAACTGCAATTCACAAGTTGAAAGCAGTTTTTTCATACGACTTCTGAAACCCAGGATATTACTTTCCTTCAGAGCTTCCGGAATCCTGTTGTACAGCTTTGAAATCGAGTAAGAAAATGATGATCGATATTGACTAGTGGTGTGAATAGGTGGAGTTAGTCGAGATTTAAAACGGACATTGATATTATGGATATCAGTGCGAAAGGTGATCTTCCAGAAAAGATATGGTGGTTTCTGAGTCAATACTACCTTATGAAATAGAGTACAGGCATGCAGAATCCTCCTCCTCTCAATATTCAGCCAACCTAGATCACTAAGTGGACTAGATATGTGATCTCTCCTGCCTAGCCCACAAATTAGACGAACGCAAGAATTCTGAACAAGTTGTAGGCGTTGCGCATCTCTCTTTGAAATAGCAGATCCATAAATGATGTCACCATAATTGAGATGAGAAAGAACTAAGGATTCACATAAGGTTATTTTACTCCGCTTATCGAGAATTTTCCTGTTGGAATAAATCAATTTCAGGTTGCAGAACGCCCGTCTAATCATATCGAATTGATGTGTTTGTTGAAATTCAAATTGGAGTCAAGGACAATTCCTAAGTTTTTGGCACATGAATCAGTCATTTTGTACTTCTCCATTCCAATAATTCGAACAATACTTTTGGAATCATTCACGTGTCGCGATTTTTTTCAACATATTACCATCATCACAACCCATACACCATGTACTCATACCTAATATACATTGAATCAAAAGGTATACTTAGAAAATGTTATATTAGCTTCCTCGTATAATTTAAAAAAAAAAGTATATTGATGTATAGGTGTCATTCAAAACCTTGTTGGATTACCTGAATAGAAAATAGTTCTGGAGCAATCTATCTACATTTCAGATGTTCGAATTGACATTTCTTTTAGATTGGAAGAAGGAAAAGAATTAACTGACAAAAACTTCAATTCATTTGAAAATACTCAATAAGGACAAATATTCTGATCTATTGATATGAAATAGACTAAGTCAAAAGGTCGCAGCACGATTCTGAGCATTCATATTTGGTCCAGATATAGAATGTTGTTATTCTAAGGAGACGAATAGTAATATAGATGTTTTTTCTGTGACGGGAAAAAAGTTTGGCATTTCATCTCTGTTGGCAGGTTATAAAATGTCACTTTTCATAAATTACTTTTTTCTCGTGGGAAAAAAGTGAATACTTTTTTCCCGGATATATATCACATATATGTACATTGTTGATGGCTTCTGTTGTGCTATAGTTCCGAAAAATGAGTCAATAATACCGTCTCCGAGAAAGAACTGCAAGTCCTTTTATCTTCCATTCGACTTCGCGGTTACGTATATTACTCAACAACCACTAATTCGCAATATTGCGAAATCAAATCACAGAATTATACTGACAGAAATGACATAAGATATTTGATTACTTCAAAAGAATGATAAAGATGCCTACAACGCAGGTGTCCCTACTGTTAAAAACTCAAAATATCACGTCGATGATTTCCAGATTTCAAAATAATGTTAGATTAGCAAAAAATAGTGTATTATACACGGGAAAAATATCAGATTTCAGCTCACGGTTTTTTTGTCTCCCTCCGCTGACAACCCAACCTGGACCTAAAATCTACTACTTTTTTCCCTTGTATAATAAATAACTATTATTCTGGTGCTATCCAATTTTTTTTTGTTTTCATTGATGGAATCTTATCTTCTCATCATTCTTAGAACATTCATCTTATCGTTTCTTTAGTTGAAGTGAGCTTTATGTGAAACGGAAACAAATACTCATCTGATGAGTGCTGGGTACATAAATATATTTTGGTTTGATGATATCTACCGATATCAATTTTGTGGTAAAAATCGGTGTTGATATAAATATAGGCGCAGTTATTCATTTGTATTCTCTAGAAGTTACAACTCATTTTCAGAATGAAAGGTGAGTTTGAGAAATCTAATTCCTGCTCCTTATCTGAAGTTCATTCTAATATTTTTCAGGAATACTGTCTGTTTTTATTGCATTTCTGGTCGCCCTAGGTGAGTTATTGGTTTTATTTTAATTATTTTTGTGCATGCCTATGGATATTTGAGTCAAATTGGGATAATTTGAAGAACTATTGCCACTCAAGCTTATTGTGTAAACTTGAAATTTAATTGTTTTTTATCGATTCATTTGTCATTGTGATAATCCTCATTTTATAAGTGTGTGTCTTCAGTCTATTGTCCCATCCAGGGAATTTGTCCATCAACGAATGAATAATTACTATAGCTGGGGAAGAGTAAACGCAAATATGCCCCATCACAGAGTATAAATAATTGAAAAAATAGTCATATCACATTCTGGACCACTGTAGAACCGCTACAAAATGGACAATTCAAGAGGATTATTCGGATAAATCATCTTATTTTCTTCGACATTATTACCTTAATTATTAAATTATTCTTAAGTTTTATTACACAAGAACATATCACCATCAATTTGTTTTTTTTTTATTAATGATGATATTGTTTTTTGTGATTAGTTTTAGTAATTCATGCAATATTATGAATCATCATCAGTTTCAGTATTCTCAATCCTGTAAAGGAACGAACACTTAACAATCATATCCTGTATCTTGAAAATTAACAGGTACCTAGAAATTTGATCATCAGTCGCGTTCTGGTTTGATGAATTGCTTTTGTGTATGAAAAGCGTGTTGAAACTATGAAATATATTAAATACCCTCAAGTGAGATATTACACAATGACGTATAATTATTGCTCAATACTTAGTACCCAATTCATTGCGTTTCAGCCAATCCAGAAGGATACGATATAACTGTTGACAGATTAGTTGGAGAAATAGTGAAAAAAGGTTTTTTGAATGAAGATATTTTTTCAACTCTCGTTTTTTCAGGAAATGCGATACCATTTGAATATGGAGATCACGATCCAGACTGTCCCTTTCCCGATTCAGGTTCTGCGGTGTTCTACCCATATCCATATGACTGCGCCAAATTCTACGAATGCGCACAGGGAAAGAAGATTCTGAAGGATTGCGCGCCAGGAACTCTCTGGGATGTCACTTTGAACACTTGCAATGACGAATACAGAGTAACTTGCTGTAAGCCAATCAATTAATACTCTATAAGTCATCGCACACTATGACCCAGGTAGCACATCAAATTAGCTGAATTAGGATTTCATATATTGGGGATATTGGTTCAACCTGAGCTAAATGTTGATTGTCAGCAACAATACCAAAGTAATATTGGTTGGAGAGTTTGTTAATAATATGTGGAAAAACATGTATATATGAATATTACGCAAGGGGAAGATTTCGTGACTGTTCTATAGATTATATTATTGGAAATATTCGTGGGAAAGAGTCGAATGTGACCAATATTAGTTATAGGTTTCTTCGTTTTTTGTCAAGCTTTCAAAAATGTTTATTTTCTTCATCACGACTTTCTAGAACATCGAATGAATGATAATGTTGATATATGAATGTACATCAATGAAATAGGTATACTTACTAACATGAAATACTATATAAAATCAGCACAACAAAAAAACATATGTGTATAAATAAATGAAATGATGTGACAAAAATTGTCATAGAAGATGGTTGCCTAATTCGTATAAAGTTGAATATACAGAGTTTTTTTTATGGTCTGGTTCCCACGAAAAGGGATATCCTGTAATGTGAAATGTATACAATCTCCAATAACATGTTATATTTCACATTTTATATTATGTATTCATCTCACTCTGTATATTCAACTTTATACGAATTAGTCAACCATCATCTCACATCATTTCATTTATTCATACACATATGTTTTCTTTTTGTGCTGATTTTATTAAGTATTTCATGTCGATTCTTTTATGCAATATTGGTTGGATATTGTTTCAACAATATTTGAAACATCATATCGACCTATATATTGATTGATATCATTTTAACTATATCATGCGAAAGATATCGAATTTTTTCAAAGATAAAAATCTATATCGGCCATTCAATATTTTTCTTCAAGTTCAATTGCATTTGTAACATATTTTTTCGAAGATACATAGCGATATCGGCATTTCGATATTTATTCAATATCACTCTCTAACCTATATCGATAGATAGCGCTATAAATGATTGGTTCCTTCCCCAAGTGCCGGTCAGATGAGAGAATATAAATATTGGTGGTCGACGAGGCAGCTTCCTTAGGACGAGACCAATATCGCCAAATGTTCACATTTTATGTCTCGCCAATATTAGTATGAAAATAATCTACCAATATTCTCAAGGGACGAGGAAATGGCAACATAATAATTTTCAATGATTCACCAATATTTCCAACTAATATTGCACTAATATTGTCAAATGATCACTTTTCATTTCACGCCAATAATGATTTCACATTTCATGACTACGAATATTCAACCAACATTTCGAATTTAATATAGTACCAATATCGCCGAATGTTCACATTTTGTTTCTTTCTCGTAATATTGCACCGATATTGTCCCAATATACAGTGTCATTCATGAAGTCGGCATCATATGGGAAAAACTTTTATTAACGACTTATTTTGGAATTCGAGTTGTACGTTAAGTTTTGCTTCAGAAAAGATGCAAAACGGCCTACTCAATCGGGGTCACGTGACTTTCGCTACATGTCAAAAGTGGCATTTTTTCAAATTAATCGCTGGAAGTAGGCTTATTTGTTCGAATATCGAAAAAGTTTACTTGGAAAAGTTGTTTCTATTTCAAATTTACACATGCTTCTCGAATTTGATCTCTCTATTGCAACTTTTAGATTTTGATTTTTTTCAATTTTTCAAAATTTCTGTAATATTTGAAGAATTGTTAATTCCACGAAACTACTTCATACCAGTAGCTTCTTCATGCTAGTTACTTTCAATCACTTATTATCACTGATTATGGACAGAAATATGATTTTCGTCAAAAAATGATAATACCCGCTTCCAAATGGTTTGATGCAAAGTTGATATATATCAAGCATTTAGAAACGAAATTCATTTAAACTGATATTTTCAGTACTGAAAAAATGAATTTGAATAAATTTCGTTTCTAAATGCTTGACTCAAACTTAACAGAATTTTGATGTTATGTTTGCATCAAACATAATATAATTTTCTGAAGAAAATCACATTTTTGTCGATAATTAGTGATAATTAGTAATTGAAAGTGAGTAGCATGATGAAGCTACTGGTATGAAGTAGTTTTATTGAATTTACAATTTTTTTAATATTACAGACATTTCGAAAATTTTTAAAAAATATCGAAATCTAAAAAATGTAATAGAGAGATAAAATCCGAGTCATATGTTAAATTGAAATAGAAACAACTTTTTCAAGTAAACTTTTTCGATATTCGAACAAATAAGCCTACTTTCAGCGATTAATTTGAAAAAATGTCATATTTGACATGTAGCGAAAATCACGTGACCCCGATTGAGTAGGCCATTTTTCATCTTTTCTGAAGCAAAACTCAACGTCCAATTCGAATTCCAAAATAAGTCGTTAATAAAAGTTTTTCCCATATGATGCCGACTTTATGAATGACACTGTATGTGTGCTACTTGGGAACTGTCATTAGTGTACAGGGTAGATCTTCGTAATTTAACGCGATCTTTGAATGGGGTACTAAAAATACCACGTTTGGTATATAGGTTCTGTGAAGGATACATGGAGAATCAAACTAGAATATTTTCATTATTATGAATCTTCCGGCTATTCCGGAAGTAACGTCATCTTCCTTATTTTCAAAAGGGCATCCTATATTTCATATAACATTTCTGAATTATTCTTATGTTCCTGATTCAAATTCATGTATGATACCAGAAAACAACTACTTTCCTGGCTATTTGCCACGTCGAACATTGAATTTTATCTGTTGACTATCCAAGAAGAGAGCATGAAAAATCAAAATCATCTGAGAATATTCCTTTCCAAAAAAGAATGGATTTGAAAAACTTTAGATTTCCAATATTTCACATTCACTATTCAATCACTGGATATCACTATAAATTGCAGTTCACATGAAAATGTCACTTTCTATAGAAATACTTGAATAGCTCAAAAACCGTTCATTTTAGGTATAGAGTGATAAACATACGATAGAATCAGAATCATGAGAAGAATTCAAAAATATCATAAAATATATAGGGTGTCCCTCTGAAAATAACAATGAGGACGCCACTTTCGGAAAAACCAAACGGTTTATTATAACCAGGATATTTTAGTTGGATTATTCATTTTCTTGCCCCTTCCTACTGATTTTCAGAATTGTGCTTATAGTAGGAACTCCATATATCAGCTCATGAATATATACCCTGTATACAAGACGAGAAAAACAAAATCTTAAAAACATTTTAATACTAACTACACTCTAAACGAGTGTTTTATCACTCATCGAGTATATGTTTATTTTATATATTGATTATTACATGCGTGTGTATATGAGCATTATTGCCTAAAATAAACATTATTTTCATTATTATACAAATGATTGTTTTTGAAGGGACTGATTTTGGAGTTTGCTCCATTTGTCTTTTATATGAAAACCTGCGTTATTGAGATGAATAATGAGGATAGAATGTTGATATCACATTTGTTTCCGAAGGTAATAAGTTCTCAATGAATATTTTCTTACGATAATATTTTCTTTTACACAAAATTTGTTTCAGCTCAAGTGGTAAGCTCTTCGACTACAGACAGATCATCACCCCCACCTGTACCTACAAACGGAACTACATCTCCCCTTACCACACCCACTACATCACCACCAACTCCAACTACAACCATAGGTACAACACCACGACCTGAAACTCCAACCACATATCCACCAACACAGCCTACAACAACTACGTCTCAACCTACATCAATACAGCCTACAACTACTACAGGTAAATTCACTAATGCGAATCATTTCTCCTATATAAAAGGTATTCAAATTGTCATCAGTATCAGTACAAGCATCAATGAAATACTATAGGTCCTTGTCCTTCTATAAACATATCCAAAACTCTTCGTTATTGAAATAGTTCGATATAATCATATAGTGGAAGTGATTCAGGAATTCGTGATCTTCCGGTAATTCGAAATCCTAAATAGCAAATACATAAGATTCATCATGCATTGCCAATCCCATCGAATGATCCACGACTGTGTCGATTCTGACAGATTAAAATTCAGCAGTTAACGACGCTGACGTTGCTATTGCTTTGACATCGATAACATTTTTTGCCATTTTGTTATTCAAATATTTGCTGCAATTCATATGTTGTGAGAAATCAAGTATTTTGAATTAATTTTCAATTATTTCTAACTTGATATTCGACGGAAGATGACCTGAAGGAATGTCATCTTGTTTGGAGGTGTGTATTTCAACAACTGTACTTTCGAACTTGTTTGAGAATATTTTGCATTGAAATGTTTCTAACAAAATGATGATAATATGATAGGTGAATACTTTGGAATGGGGATATAAGGAATATGAGGTAGGTACCATTATTTGAGTTTGTTTTCGGTCGACAGCAAGCTTTCACCCATCGTTTCATTAGGTCTCCATTCTTGGAAAAACAGAAAAATTCAATATCTGTGCCTTTTGTATATCAGTTGGAATTTTCATAACCAGAAACGAAACAAGTGGGCATTCCGAAATTGTCTCATTCAATTTTGGAACGAAAACAAATAATAACAATGATAGTTATATCCCAGTTGACGTCATGCGCAGAACAAGACGAGTTTGAGCTTTCTGTCGAGCACACCATCTTCTATTTCCACTATGGATATAATCATGAATGTTCTGATGTCTTTCATATTCAGTTTATTATTAATAGTACACATCAATATCAAGTATGTCGATCAACATAGAACGCTGAAACAATTCTTCAGTAAACCACTGACTGTACTAATCACTTTCGATAATTCATTCAGTTTGCGAGATCTTCAGAAAGATTCAATTTCAATGCAATAATTGAATGCTAATCTAATGCCGTTCGAAATTATATTGAATTTTTACTAGTTGTTACTAATACATGGACTTGCTATGAAAATATAATACCACTACAGAATTTTGACATGACAAACTACATCAAGATTGGTTTTCATTACTTCACAAACACAAAATAAATATGAATAATTGTTGTTGTTTCGTTTCAGCTCCTTCGACTATTGATCCTAGCGGGCTCTGTGAGGACCAACCGAATGGTACCTACCTACCTTATCCAGGAGACAGAAAAAGATACATAGAATGTGTTTACCATCACACTTACGTTTATGTTTGTCCCGGGATCACCTTCTGGGACCAAAGCATACTGAACTGTGTCTGAGTCAAATATCAAAAGACAGAATAAATATACTTTCATTGAAGCAGTAATCACTAAAGTTACCTTCCCCATAGTCCTGCACGATTCGCTGTTGCGTTCCAATTAACAGTGCTGATCCTAAAGTGGCGCATGGAGCTAGTAACAAAGCCTACACAGAACACGCAGAAAGAGATGATGTGGTTGTGAGCATCAGAGAAGAAGTAGGACGGTGTGTGTGGGTGGGTGTGGAAAACTACCAGCTGAGCGTGAGAGCGGGCCAGCTGCTTAGTGATCCCCAGTCTCTAACGTGGGTTAACGAGGATAGCTAGCAGGCCTGCCACTGCGCATATGGTAATGAGTAGATTACTAGCCTACAAAACACAGTCGAAAAACTCTGAAAGAGAGCTGATGGGCGGTGCCTGAAAACGATGTTAGCCAGCTCTCTTGAGCGAACCACATCAGTCATTGAAAACACTTGGGGTTTGCAAAAAGGGCCCATTAGGGACTAGTTGCTGACGTGCAAACGTCCCCCACCAGTACCAGTACTAGTACCAGTACCTTCCCCATACTTAGTTGATAGTCGACTTTTGTCCTATACACATGACGTATCACTAGACCACTATGAAGTCTCAAATTGAGATGTGCATCATAATATCTTTGTCTGAAACTAAATTTCACTTCAGAAGTACCAACGTATTTCTTGATTTCGAGTTTTTGTACTATCGATAGTTATTCTTTTTTCTTCAATTGACTCGGCCGTTAATGGATGGAGATCCATAGCAAATGTAAAAACTTTCAAAATGATAAGATTTCCACAAAATTCTTGAACACACAACATGTTTCGCTAACACAGTAGCTTCGTCAGGTGATATACTGGTACAATGAACTGAACCAACCTTTGGTTGCTCAACTTTTATATATTCTACTTTCCCAACTTGAAGGATTAGTTACCTGACGATAGGTTCGATAAACCTATTTTCGGAGATTAGGCACGGTATACCGAATCAACTTGGAAGGGTTGACCTACGAAGGAAACAAATTCAACAGTGGCAAATTAATGAGGTCTAATTGATCTTTGAGTAAAATGTCAAAATTCTTGAGTTTGTTGATTTCTAATGATTAAAATTGATTGAGTTACATTCCTCTATTTTGTACGTGTAGAATTTCGAAATTATTATTGAAACTATGGTTTTCTTCTGATATATGGTTGGCGTATGTTGAATTTGTTTTCTGTTTCAAAAAATTCATCTTACGACCTGTCTGATCGATATATACCTAAGGGCAAGATCCACAGTTCCATAGTTGGTTCGTACCGCTATCCCCAGAGGCCGATACCGTAAGATAGAGAAGACAGTATTATAGAGTCGTATAATTTTATACGCGAATCCCAGCTGGTCATCTCTGATTGACACATTAAATTCATAACCGATCCAATCGCTTGGTTTGCTTTTGTTGATGCCGATTTGGACATTTCCAGAAAAAGGGCTGATGATGAATATTCAATTCCTTGGTAGGGTATTTTTTTACTACTCCAAGTGGCTTGCCGTGATAAAATTTCTTTTCATATGACTTGTAGTGGCCTTTCCTGGCATAAATCATCATTTTAGTTACCTGTGTATTAACTACAAGGTTATTTTGAGTTGAATATAACTCGAGGATTTTGAGCTTTTTAGATAGGTCAGATTGTGAGTCGCTTTGGATGATTAGGTCATCTGCGTATAATAACAGCATTATGTTGTTCTGAACATCAATATTGACTAATGTTGCACCTTGAGAGATGAAAAAATCATTAATGTCCGAGATGAAAAGTTAGAGAAGCAAAGGGCTTAGAGATTCACCCTGAAGAACTTCTTCCGCGGTGTCATATGGTTTACTGTATTCGTTATTGACTTTGACACACATATTTGCTCCATCATTCAAGTTGATTTGAGACTAACAGGTATGGAAATATATACTGCTTTCGTAAACTTCAAACGAGCCTTTGTCTCGGTATGTCATAGCCTTCTTTGATTCAAACTATCCACCCAAGTAACATTTTAAATGCCTAATAGCTTCGATGAGACTTTAAAGAGGTTATGTGGTCGAAAATTATAGGTCTAATTTGTTCTACCATTTTATGAATGCCCTGGAAAAAGCAAATTGGCCTTCATGTCCTATTAAAAGGTTTCATTAGTGGCTCGAATTCGACCAAGATGTTTTGAACTAATCCTATAAAACCAAATTGACACTAGGCCAATTAGGATTTGACTGAGGCAATAATGAAACCTAATGATATATTATTCTAGCTACGTGAAAGTAATTATTAAAACCTATAAGCCACAATGAATTCATCGAAATCAATCATAAAATCTAGTTTATTTTAGAACTGTGTTAAACCCTTAGTGAATACTCATAATGGTTAAACCCAAATCCCATTATATAAATGTTCGTATTTTTTTGCCCACAACGACTCACGTTGAAATGAACTCACAAGAAGATAAATGGTGTGAAATCAAGAGAAATGGCAACTTCAAGCGAAAAAATAAAGAAAATCAGTTAAAAATCAAAAATCAAGTCGTGAGAGCAACAGTAGATCGGAATTCTCAACAACTGAAACCACCAAATAGCAAGAATTCATTAGGACCTGATGTTCATGAAGTACCATCAACGAGTCAGAACGTAATGGAAAATACTTCTGATATATCTACATGGATACTTGGAAGCGAGGAAGATGACAATAGTCTTACACAAATAATGTCAGATGGTGAGTTTCGCAAGAATTCGATAGAATGGAGCATTCAACAGAATATCAGACAAACTGCACTGAGTGTAGTTTGTCTAGGTTTCCTACTCGGTCTCCTACTTAAAACCAATCACAAAATTCACACACTTAACACTGAAATAACAAAAGTAGGGTTATGTTGATCATGTTGATGACGTTCTACTTTTTGCCACACTGCCCAATGAGCACTTACTAGCCAGGATATTCTTAAAACTTTATAGTTTTATGAAGGCATTATCTTATATCCTCTCTGAATCAATCTCATCATTTTCGATGCTTTGTTGTCATACCCAGGAACAAATAGTCATAAGAATGGATTTGAGTACTTCAACAGGAGGAGATCGTCTCATAAAATGCCTTATTATTACCTAAAGGTTTTAATTGAGCATAAGAGGAGGAAAATTGGTTGAAAGTATATTTTGCGCCATATTTACTACAAACAGATGTCGGCCATTGATGGAAATAAAAATTTCTAGCAGAAAATAAAAAAGATTCATTGATACTGCCGTCAAAAATGTTGTTTTTTCACATTTTTCAAACGACTCACCCATATTCAGCAAACATTCATACAGTTTTGTCAACTTTCTTGAAAAGTTATTGAAATTCACATCCAATTCTAACTGGTAGAAACACATTATTTTTTGGGCGTTGCTTTTTTTTAAGCATATCTAGTATGTTTTCGTCAGAAAAGTCGTCATCGTTTTCATTTTACAGCCTCAATCTTCACAAAAAAGACTATTTGATACAGTAGGGAGTTATTATATCATATACCACCATGTCTACTCTCTTTTATAACTATTTATTGTTTTCACTCCATTTTGACATGATGAGGTTTCAATTCTAGCCAAACTGTCGCTTTTAAAGCATATGGGTTTGAACTCGTGCCAAGAAGTTTTGAGGGCAGCAGTCTTGATGGGTTTTATTATTGCTCTGAGGCATACTACAATAAATGCCTTTTAGTTTCATGACAAGCTTCGAGAGAAGCTGTGACAGCTTTTATAAAAGTGGGCCTTTTATGTTTTGAGAAGGTTGTTTTATTGTTTTAACACGTTGGCTACCATATGAGTCTCATGTGATGCGCACTCTCATTTGCTCTACAAACCACCCTAAGAAATCGCATACTTCCTCTCTGTACCAAGTGAAGAATCAAACTCAAAACGTAGCCTTTCGCTACAAGATGTTGCTATATTGTATTTTTGAAGCAGATGCCTTCATCTCGATAGAGTTTGCTGAAAGATCACCGGTGATTCACATGGTACATAAATGAACCATTTCATCAAATGATTGCAGGGAACTCCTTATATTTTGTTGTTTTTTCTTCGATTATAAGCGCCTTTATTCAAACCTTCAAGAGAAAGTAATGGACAATTATGACGAGAAACGTATTTCGAGAAGTACGCAAAAATTCAAAGATGGCAGCAAAACATACAAAATTGGTTACCACCTTTTACGCGGAATGCCCCGAGAAACCTTCATACTGTTTGGACTGTTTTCAAGAAAAAACATTAGTATTTTCTTTGTACAATGATTATTGATAAGATTTTTTTTACTTATGAGTGTAACAATCTCAATAAAAAATTGACAAGAGAGTGAGCGGTGCGTCTTTTCATTAGAATAATCCAGTCAATTTCTATTGGCATTTTCCAGATCTATGTGTATCACTGGTGATACCCACTTCAACCCGATATTATTTGGTTCATACCTGAACCATACCCACATTCTAATTCCTTCGTTTATACACTAGGCTTCCCTACAAGCATTCAAATAATATGTGTTCATTATCACTGGTGATACATAAAGTACAGAAGTGAACTATGAAAGAGCATCACCGGTGATACATATGGTACCTTGGGTCAGAATGTTGAAATCAGGCTTGGTAGTTAACGTGTTAATGATATGATTGAAGTATAATAATTTTGAGAAGGCATTTTGAAATAGGTTGTAACAACCTCCTGTCGCTAACAATAAAACTGATAATGTCATTTGGTCAGCTTAGGAATCAGTTCAAAACTCATCCGTGGCGAGAGACTTATCACCGAGATATGTAACATGATTATCGAGCCTTCACTTTTCCGTACTCTTACTGTTCATTATCGCTGACAGTTTCTCTTTCCATATAAGTACCTCAGGAAAGAATTTCTGCCATCCGAACTGCTCCAATTCCTCGAGAAGTCAGAAAAATTCTCATGCATTCGCTATCAAGATTCCAATCGTGGCACTGATTGCCCTGAGGGACGAACTTATGGCGATGTAAAGTTGTGCTCGAAGATCCGAAGGGTAAGGGGGTGGTTTCTCTTGCTAACGGAAGGCGGA